CGATGCGGGACTCGATGCGGGACTCGATGCGGGACTCGATGCGGGACTCGATGCGGGACTCGATCCAGGGACTCGATGCGGGACTCGATCCAGGGACTCCAGGATCATGACCTGAGCCGAAAGCAGTCGCTTAACCAACTGAGCCACCCAGGCGCCCCCGGTAGTGCAGAGATTTTATAAGGCAGAAGGAGATGGGGAATGAGGAAAGCAGTTTCCCACTTGAGGCCTCAGAATAAGTGAATGTTGTTCAAGTAGTGGGAGACAAAGTCAAGAAAACCATAATCCTTCTCCTTTCTGTGAAAGGGCTGATTCCTCATTCCTGGTTCTTATGAGAATTTGTCATATTTACATTCCAGCTAACTGGATGTGCTTCTGTGGAGCAGAATGTGAGGTAAAATTGTTAAAAGGTACTGTTGGGACTTTTTTTTTTCTTAAGTAAGCTCTATCCACTACCTCCCCCCCGCCCCCCGCTGACCCCCACCACACGACATGGGGCTTGAACTCATAACACCAACGTCAAGAGTCACATGCTCTATGAACTGAGTCAGCCAGGCACCCCTAAAAGGTATTGTTAAAAAGGAGAGAGGGGCACCTGGGTGGCTAAGTCGTTAAGCATCTGCCTTCGGCTCAGGTCATGATCCCAGGGTCCTGGAATTGAGACCCGCATCGGGCTCCCTGCTCAGCGGGAAGCCTGCTTCTGCCTCTCCCACTCCCCCTGCTTGTGTTCCCTCTCTCACTGTATCTCTCTCTGTCAAATAAGTAAAATCTTAAAAAAAAAAAAAAGACAGCAGCGGCACCTGGGTGGCTCAGTCGTTAAGCGTCTGCCTTTGGCTCCAGTGTCTGTCATGATCTCAGGGTCCTGGGCTCGAGCCCTGCATCAGGCATCCTGCTCAGCTGGGAGCCTGCTTCTCCCTCTGCCCTTCACCCCACTTGTGTTCTCTCTCTGCCAAAATCTTTAAAAAAAAAAAGAGAGAGAGAGAGACAGCAGCCCCAAATAGAGTCACTTGTGCTAAACCCCATGTCAGCAAACCAAGACTTAATACCTAACCAAAATGCAGTTTTAATTCCCCGGGAATGTAATCTTTAAGCAGGCAACATGGAATTACCTGGTCAGCACTGGTGAAATAATCTGCCTGATAAACTCCTTCCATTCCCCTTAGGAAAGTGACCTAATGCAATTTGATCCAATCTGATCTTTAAATTTACTCAGTTGAATTTCTGTTGTTTAACGGTTTGCAGGGGGATGCCAGTGACCCTCTCTCAAAGGTCACTGAGGGAGATTTTTGTGATCTGACCTAGCTAAAAAAAACCTCATGTGTAATGCTCCTACATCCAACCTGATCTCTTCTGATGTGTGTGACAGGCAATCCCAGAAACACCTGAGCCTCCTCTCCTGAGCTACGAGGAGACCTTGTTTCAGTGGTAAAAGACACCCTAACTCTGTTTAGATTTAGATTTCACAAAACCCAGGAATTAGTTTCCTTGTTCTTATTATTTATAAGTACCATTAAATCCATATTTGAAAAGACTGATGTTAATAACACATTAACATCTTTTTGTAGTTCCAGTCGCTCCCTTTCCAAGCCATCCTCTACACTAATTTGTAAGTTTTTTTAAAAAAATAGAAGTTTGCAGATGTTATTTCTTATGTTAAAAGCTTTTAACAGCCTTTTCTCTTATTATTTGCTTCTATATAATCAATACCTCATTTGCTTTTTTGCTAGTGATACTGTACTCCATTCATGCAGTTGCATTTTGTTTCTTTATGTATTTAGTTCATTCTAAATCTGCATGAATGTCTTTTTTTAAAGCTTTTTTTAAAAGAATATTTTTTCAATAATATATTTTTTTAATAATATTTTTAATAGAAAATAGAATTTTAACTTATGTTGTTTAGAGATTGTTTTTATTAGTTTTGTTTTTGTTTTTTTACCATTAGCATCTCCCAATGTTGGCTCATGCAGTTAATTTTTAAGAAAATTTTTTGCCCATATTTAAAGATTGGGACATAGGTAGGATTTTAATTTTATTTTTGATTCGATGAAAAAGTTTTTAAAAAACTTAGAGTAGATAAGAAAATATAGAAAGTTTAAAAGAAATGTAACATCATAAATTTAGTACTGGGGTACCTGGGTGGCTCAGTCGTTAAGGGTCTGCCTTCGGCTCAGGACATGGTCCCAGGGTCCTGGGATCCAGCCCTGCGTCACATCTCTGCTCCACGGGAATCCTGCTTCTCCCTCTCCCACTCCCCCCTGCTTGTGTTCCCTCTCTTGCTGTGTCTCTCTCTGTCAAATAAAGAAAATCTTTTAAAAAAAACCCACAATACTTTCTTTTGAAAAATCAGAATATCTGACCACATTGATCCCATGCTCTTGTGTGGAATGGGTCCACCCCACTCAATCCCCTACATTTAGGCTGATGCCAATGACCATTTATCACCGTGCTTGTTTGTGTGGTTATTTTTCCTTATGTTCAGGCCACTTCACTTACTTATATTGCCTGCACTGTGGGGATTTGAATTCTGGTGATTATTTAGAGAAGGTGGCAAGAATCATCAGAAACTTTCCCCAAATCATAGTTACAGGGAAGATGATTGAGAAGTGGAGCAGTGGGGACACACATAAGAGAAAAGGTTTTTGGAATTGAATCAATAAATTATCATTCTTGCTAGCTAAATGCCCCTGGGGGACAAAAGCTAAACTTCAAAGTACAGTCAACATTTAATAGGGAGAAGTTCTTCAGATTAGTGTTTTCATAATGAAATACATAAATGTGGAAGAGAAAATAGTACAATGCCCAGAGAAAGCTCAGATCCAGATACAGAGAACATCACCTTTCATTGAAGAGTCTTGAAAATCTGTATAATTGAGATGAGAATTCAAACATTCCCAACCACTTAGAAGAAAGCAAATTGTGAAAAGACAAAAGTAGAACCAAGGCAACCCAGGAACTAAACTCATAATACACACTTCTCAAGTAAACCTCACCAGAGTTCTCAAAGTCTACAGAGATGGTGTTCCTACCATCTTTTGTACTGGAGAACAACTTTTCTGCTCACAATTCTTGTTTTTCATTGCTGTATTCTTCTAAAGTGTCAGAATCATCCTCATAAATAGAGGTTGACTTCCCAGATCGTTCTTCATAAATTTCTTCATTCTTGGCAATTATTTTTTGCCTATAAAGAGAGAGAAGATGTATCACTATAGACTCAACGGGTAGAAGGGCCTCTACGATATCTGGGGGGAGAGAAACATGGTTTCATTCTTTCACTGGGGGAAGTCGCACACATTACTTGCAGTGGTTTTGAATTTAGTGAGATATGATATTTATGTTACCAAATTCCCAGATGAGGAATATTCTTCTGAGGGGAAACAGAGTATGCCATCCCAAAATACGCTACCTTGCATATTGATTAGTTTGAATTAAAGTTACTTAAGCCAACAGCCAGTACAAGAAAGATACTCTGACCCTCCTTTGTCCCCCTGAAAGCAGGAAATAAAATTACCCGCCCTACACAAGAAGGTAAAGAGACATGCTTCTCACCAGAAACAGGGAATTTAGGGCCAAGGAGGCTGTATAAACAGACCTGTTACTTCCTCACTCATTTACCACCCCGAGCCCAAACTCCTTTGTCTTGTCAATTCTTTACAGATTGTCTTTTTGTCTAAAAGGTATAAAAGCTGCCCACTTTGGTCACTTCTTTGAGTCTCATATTTTTATGTGCTCCTGTACATTCAAAATTTAATTTGTTTTTCTCCTGTTAACCTGTCTCATGTCAATTTAACTATTAGACCAAACAACCTACAAGGGAAGAAGGGAAAAGCTTTACTCTCCTATACCACCAAATCAATGCAATGAATCACTTGCCTTTATTAAAATATTGACCAAAACTTATCTCAGTGATTTAAAATGCATCTTCAGGTAACAGTATAATTTCTGACCTAAAGTTGATTTCCACAGGAAATAAATGCAGCTGTATCTAAGTGTAAAGCACTGACACCTAAACCCCTAAACTCTCAGGGGACACGGTAAAAACTCGGAGCTCACATGTGTTGTCATGACAGTTTCCAATCATTCATTCAACAAGTATTTATTATATATCTACCATGGATTCCAAGCATATGACATTCTGGAAAAGGCAAGACTACAGAGACACTGAAAAGATCAGTAATTGCCGGGAGTTGGGAGGGGAAGCCAAGCATGAATAGGTGAAGGGCAGAGGACTTTAGGGATTTAAAATATATACACAGAACTGAATAAACTCAGAGACCCTCAGATAAATTTCATGTGCCGTTTTACGTTAAAACTAAGACGTAGGTAAGAGAGAGGAGTCTAGACACATTCCCAACACCACTTCAGATGAACTGTCTGACCTTCGCAGGTGATTTCTGTGGCCTGGCTCTGAGTGAGTATCTCCCTCCTGAAAGTCCCTGTGCCTTGACCTTATCAGGGAATACCTGGGTTCATCTTCATCTATTCCTCACCCAAACTCCCTCCCACTTTCTAAGGATAACTCAGCCATATCTTTTTGAGCAGTGTCCTTCATACCTTAGATGAATGTTTTCTTCTGTCAGAAGCTGTATGGTATATTTAAAATTTTCTTCAGCTTCAGCAAGCTTGATCTGGAACATTTTCTCCAGATTTCCCACAGTAGCTTTCTGAAGGACATATAAATTTTAATACCCATCTTTCCCAAACCAGAGTCACCCAGAGCAGAGCTATATGGTAGAGCTGCCCAGAGACCTGGATTCCTCTGCACAACTCCCATCCCCACTCCAGCCAGGACTTGCCTCTCTCTGAAGTTCCATCTGGGTTTGGTAGAGGGTTGTGTTAAGTGTTTCTAGGATAACAGCTTGTGTATTCAACTCTTCCTCCATGACCTGTGTAAGAAGAAACTGTTTCAGGACAACATGACAATATCTACCCATTTATTCTCTTCTGCAGGGTACCTGGACTAGAAGGTGAAGCATCAACTTTAGCAACTCTTTACACTGTTCAGTCACTTCACCCTGTTAATTCTACCTCTTGTATGTCTTGCCCATCTATACTCCCCTCTGCAGACTCACTATCACTGTCTCAGATCCAGCCCTCACCGGGGCTTGCATGGGTTGTCACAATAGCTACCAATCACTCATTCATTAAACAAATACTTATTATTGGAAAAGGCAAAACTACAGAGACAGTAAAAAGAGGAGTGATTGCCAGGGGCTGGGAGGGGAAGCAAGGGATAAATAGGTGGAGGACAGAGAACATTTAGGCAAAGAAACTACTCTGTATGATATTGCAATGGTACATGGCATGCTGCATTTGATGCATTCGACAAAACCTATAGAATGTATAACACAAACAGTGAACCCTAAGGTAAACTATGGACTTTAGTTAAAAGGGATGTATCAATAATGGTTCATCAACTGTAGCAAAAGTACCACACTAATGTAAGACGTTAATAATAGAGAAAATTGTATGTTTGCGTTGGGGGAGGATATGAGGAATCCCTGCACTTTCTGCTTAATTTTTCGGTAAACCTAACATTGCTCTAAAAAAAAAACCAGTCTTTTAATTAGGAAAAAAAAAACCCTCCTGTTGTAGGCACCAGGAGTATTATGATGAACAAGAAAAATATAATTCCTACTCTTATGGATGTACATTCTAGTGAGGGGGATGGAAAAAAATAAAAGTTAATAAAATAATTACAATAATAAATTTAAAACAAACCGAGGATAAGATAGAAGATGCAGTGTAAGTGCAGGGAAGGGACAAATGTGGAATTTACATTAGATAGATGCTGAAGAGACTATAAGAATGAACCAGATGGGTCTCTGCTTTCAGGTGTCAGCTCCGTTTAACTCCTACATGTCCTCAGAGCTCTTCCCATGGGATAAGCATCCTCCCAAGATGTATAGACTAGAGAGGTACCATCACTTACTGCAACCACATTGTACAAAGCACTGTACCAATTCACTTAGCATTCTTTTATTCACTTATTCACTCAAAAAATCAATTGGTAGTCACTGAATGTCTTGATGTGCCAGGAATGTTCTAGAAACTGGAGATTAGTGGTAGAGAAAACAGACAAAAATCTCTGCCTTCATTGAGTTTATCAGGTTAGACAATTATAAATCTGTATAGAAAAATAAAACAGGGAAAAGGAAGTGTTGGGTGGGTTGTTAAGCCTTTAAATAGAGTGGCCCCTCAGAAGTGGCATCTAAGCAAAGACCAGTAAAAGAGGTAAGGAAGTTAGTCATGTGGATATCTGGGAAACAACTTCCTAGGAAGACAGAATGTCAACTGCAAAAACCTCAAAGTAGAGGATCCTGGTGTGTTAAAGAAACAGCAAGGGGTCCAGTGCCACTGGGGTAGCATGATGGAGGAGGGGAAGATGTAGAAGGAGATGAGGATGGGGGAAAGAACCATGAGCATGGAGCAGGTAGAACAATCCTCAGGGTCAACACAGGACTGGGAATAGTTATATTCCCACAAGCCAGAGTACACAGAGTATTGGGTAGACTACTCAAAAGGGTATTATCTCTGTCAGGGGGGCGGATTAGCCTTAGATCAAAGACTGCTTTAATTCTGCCTAACAAAGCTTAAAGGTAAGGCTTGAAAATATCAAACTGTTTCTAAGTAACTTAATGGCATCCCAGAACAAAGTACAACTATATTTAAAGGAATACAAAGATATTCAGCACCCAAAAAGTTGAACTTCACAATGGTGGTTGTCCAATAAAAAATTACCAGGCATGCAAATAAGTGGGAAAATATGGCCACAAATGAGGAGCAAAGTCAATTAATAGAAACAGATCCAGAAAGGAATGGTAGAATTAGAAGACAAGCTCAATAAAGCAGTTATTATAATACACTGGGTCTTCCTTGTTCCTTGTTTTGACCTATCCCTCTACCATGCAGGACACTGAGGTCTGTTTACCGAACAACGATGAAGCCTTGCCTAATCTCTAAGATATCATTCCACGATTTTATAACGGCTAGTCTTTTCCCAAACATGTCCATTCTGGATCCAAGTTAAATTCTCTGTGAAAGAAAACCATGGGTTTGAACAGTTTCCCTTCAGGTGTCTCCCACATGGAAGTGCCATAATTTGTCCCAGAAGGACAGAATTCTTTGAAGAAACTGTTGGACATGAGGCACACTCAGAATCTTAAGGAGAGGCTTGGAGTTAGAGTTCCCAGGGGCAGTATTGTAATTTTTAGAGCTTAAAGGAAGAATTTGGTATTTCAGAAGTCAAGACTCTTGTGGTTTGAGACTTATTAGAAATGGAAGGCATTTGACACTGAAGATCACAAGCATATTGCTTATATATTTCTTCAAATCGTTCTAAAAAGATGCTAAGGGCTTTGTTTTACAGATGACTTTGTATTATAGTTCTAAAGTTCTTTTTGACCTGTTGAATCCAGCAAACTCAGCTTTAGGGCCTCCCCCACCCTTTTTTTTGGTTTTGGAAAATTATCATAGATTCCATTTTTTGGGAGTACATAATTTTATTGATGCATTTGTAAGATGCTAATTCCACAGGAAAAATGAAAAAACTTACCTGTTTGGTCTTTCTTAGCTCCTCTAATTGTAAGGTATCCTTTTCATGTTGTTTCAGTAGCTCCTAAAAATAATTTTATTTGGAAAGGGTCAGCACTGGGGTTTCTAGTACTTCTTTCAGAGAATTAAGAAAGCCAGAATAGGATTCTGGAATATCATATTCACCAAAGTTTAGATATTGGTATAATGAAGCACACATTATAAACTAATGACATGACATGTTGAAGTTAAATTTTGAAAATCTTACTTATGTGCAACCTTGGTAGGGTTACTATTGTTGAATATTGTTAACATTGTTGAATATTCTGTTCTGCCACAGATTGATCTTTATATTCAGTACAATCCCAGTCAGAATACTTTCTTGACAAACTAATTCTGAAATTTATATAGAAATGTAAGTGATATAGAAGAGCCAAAATAACCTTGAAAAACAAGAGCAAAACTGGATTTTTACTCCCTGATTTCAAACTATAGTAACTGAGACAATGGTTGTCTTGACCTAGGTATGGACAAAGAGTTCAATGGAATAGAATGGAACAACTAGATATCTATACAGAAAAAAATGGCCTATGACCTCTACCTCACTCCATACATAAAAATTATTCAAAATGGATCATAGAGGGGTGCCTGGGTGGCTCAGTCGGTTAAGCGTCTGCCTTCGGCTCAGGTCATGATCCCAGGGTCTTGGGATCGAGCTCTGCGTTGGGCTCCTTGCTCAGCAAGGAGCCTGCTTCTCCTCCTCCCTCTACCCCTCCCTCTACTCATGGACACTCTCTCTCTCTCTCTCTCTCTCAAATAAATAAATAAATAAATAAAATCTTTAAAAAGAAAACAAAACAAAATGGATCATAGAACCATAAAAACTAAAATTATAAAGCTTTTTTTTAGAATAGAAGATCTTCAAAAAATATAAAAATAAATAAAATAGAAGATCTTTGTATTCCTGGACTAGGCAATAATTTCATAGAAAGGACACAAAAAGCTGTAACTTTCCTGTAAAAAGGAAAAAATTAATAATTTGGCTTTCATCAAAATAAAAAACTTCTGCACATCAAAAGATAACATGAGCAAAACGAAGAGGCGAACTACAGGCTAGGAGACTGTGTTCGTGACACATGTACCTAACAAGGAACTTGTATCCACGTTACATAAAGTACTCCTCCGTATCTATAATAAAGATAAACAATCTAAGTTTTTTCAAATGGCAAAAGACTTGAACCAGCATTTCACAAAAGAAGACATATAAATTATCTGATAAGCATATAAAAAAATTGCCCAACATAATTAGTCACCAGGGAAACTAAAACTATAATGGAATATCACTTTATACCCATTGGAAGGGTCAAAATAAAAAGGATGCCACTTAAAAAAAAAAAAAAAAAAAAAGGGCGCCTGGGTGGCTCAGTTGGTTAAGCGACTGCCTTCGGCTCAGGTCATGATCCTGGAGTCCCGGGATCGAGTCCCGCATCGGGCTCCCTGCTCGGCAGGGAGTCTGCTTCTCCCTCTGACCCTCCCCCCTCTCATGTGCTCTTTCTCATTCTCTCTCTCTCTCAAATAAATAAATAAAATCTTTAAAAAAAAAAAAAAAGGATGCCAATACTAGTTGCTGATGATGTGGAGCAACTGGAATTCTCATGTTTAAGACGCAAGAGTAAAATGGCACAGCTACTGTGGAAAGTGCCTTGGCAATTTCTTTCTTTTTTTTTTTTAAAGATTTTATTTATTCATTTGAGACAGATATAGAGAAAGAGAGCATGAGCAGGGGGAGAGGCAGAGGGAGAGGGAGAAGCAGACTCTTTGCTAAGCAGGGAGCCCGATGCGGGACTCGATCCCAGGACCCTGGGATCATGACCTGAGCTGAAGGCAGATGCTTAACCATCTGAGCCACCCAGGTGCCCTGGCTTGGCAATTTCTTATAAAGTTAAACTATAACTACCCTAGAAACCAATAATAACACTGCTAGGTATACACCCAAAGGAAATGAAAAATTGTGTCCACAGAAATACTTGTACAAGGGTGTTTACAAAGCCTTTATAAAATAGCGAGGACAACAAATGGAAACAACCTAAACCCCCAAAAACAGGAAAATGGTAAACACATTGTGGGATATTCCTACAAAGGGATGCTAATGGGCAATAAAAAGTAAGAAATTACCGATATAAACAACAAATGGATAAATTTCACAGACATTGTGTTGAGGAAAAAGAAGCTATATACAAAAGAGCATATACTGCATGATTCCATTTATATGAAGCTTAAAAACAGGTAAAACTAATCTATGGTGGGGGGCGCCTGGGTGGCTGAGTCGTTAAGTGTCTGCCTTCTGCTCAGGTCATGATCCCAGGGTCCTGGGATGGAGCCCCGCCATCGGGCTCCTGCTTGTCTGGGAAGCCTGCTTATCCCTCTGCTACTCCCCCTGCTCGTGTTTCCTGTCTCGCTGTCTCTCTCTCTCTGTCAAATAAATAAATAAAATCTTAAAAAAAAAACAAAACTAATCTATGGTGGTAGGAATCAAAATAGTGGCTGTCTTGGGGCAAGTTTTGAGGGAGAGAGGGCTTAACTGGGAAGGAATACAGGAGTGATTTCTGGGTTGATAAAATGCTCTAGATCTTTACTTGGGTGTTAGTTACATGGATACGTACATTTGTCAAAACTCATCAAACTGTATACTTACGATCTGTGCATTTTGTTAATTGTAAACTATGCTTTCATGAGAAAGAGAGTGAGACACAGAGCAGCATTTACAGATTTATAGTCAGCGTCGCCGGAGAGAAAATAGGAGAGAGGAAAGGATGCATGCGGATGATCAAATCTCTCCCCATTAGAGGAATTGCTCCTTCTTATTCAGATGTCTGAGCCCTCCAGACCCCAGAAGTGCTAGCCACACTGCATACATGCCCCATATCCTCATTACTGTCTTGCTCAGTTATAGTGAATGCCAGAAATGGGATTTGATTGGTGAAATTAGTGGTTTTTTAATTAGCATGATGATTGGAAATGGGCTCTTAAAAATGGCATATTCAAGGTAGATAGTATTTTAGAGGCACAGTCCACTTTGCAGGAAAAGAGTACAGGAATCTAACAAAACCTGTAGGCTGTGCACTCAGGAATGGTGTCTAAGACTTGACTCTTAGATAGTCCTCTGCTGCTTAGGAGGTGCCCTGGCTGCCTGAGGCTGACTCCAGGAGTTGCAGAATCCTATCCTGTCAGGCCTTTGTAGCTACCTCTGATGAATCTTTCATGGACCTAAAAGCTCAGAGAGCTGGTGGTATAACCACTTGGGGCCTGCTTGCTAATGCAGGTTTGTTTAGTAAATGCCCATATGTCTGAGACCCGTTCCATGATGACCTGGTGGCAGTAACAAGGTGGTGGGGGAGTGATGAACAGGAGCAGCTCAGCCTCACCCCCTCGAACTTTGAGGTAGCTCCTCCTACTCACTCAGAGCTATACGTGACCAAACTTGCTTAGTTTAGTTTGCTCCACTGCCCTTTCTCTTCAGCTCCAGTCAAGGATGAGGAGGAACATTCAGACACTGGGGTTTTGGCAAAACAGGGAATTTCGGGTTCTGTATGTGTTTAGCGTTCTATTATTCCCCGTTAATTCAAATTTTCATTCCACCATAACCCTGTGGTAAGACCGTCTAGATAAAGACAGCAAGACTGCCAGTCCACTTGGATACATTTCCAGGGAAGCTGGAAAAGGAGGAATATGCCCACAAAGACAAAAAGCTCGCCTAATTACAGAGACACCCCTGGGACCGCGATGTCTCAGCAAGGCTGCACCTTCAACCCCTCACGTGCATGGGGCCTAAGTTACCTCCTTCTCTCGAATGAAGTTCTCAAAGACGGCACTGTAGGAATCATTTATTTTCTTCTTTTCTTCTATTGACTCTAACTCAAACTTTTTTGTCATTTTATGTTCTGTGGAGGTGAGAAGAAATTACACGTATGAGGAAATGTGGGGAAAGCAGATGCGAAGGAAACTCCAAATGTTTGAAGATAATAGAAATTCCAGACTGGGTCAAACTCAAGGTCCTTTCAGCCTGGCGTTCGGTTTCTGATGTTTACCTGGAGTGTGAGAGTCAGGTGAACATGGCGGTGGTTTTCAGGGATGTCAGTCATATGGGACTTACCCCAATGTCTCTGATTTTTCTGTGTATGTGTAATTTATTTTAGATCTCTTGCTTATTATTTTGTCCATTCTCACCGCCAAAGTAACCAGTATGCTTTCTTCGATATCCTTACCTTAAAATACAGCTCTTGGCTAATGTGATGCCTCCAGCATAAATATTTATTCTGTACTTAGCCCTGGGGTAGAGATAGGCTTAAACTGTTTCTGGCGCAGGGGAGCCTGCCAACAAAGGCCCAATACCAAACAGGGGTTAGTAGGGGGTAGAAGGAAGGGGTAAGGGGCTGACACAAATTTCTTCTGCAGCCTCATGGTGCTGGGGATGGATAGGGAGGCAACCTCTAGGCTCACAGGATGGGTCTGGGCTGAGCTACGTTGTGCACAGCTAAAATCTGCTTTTTCAAAACTGAGTGAACATCTTAACTTAGATTTTGACAACATGGAATGAGTATAGTGTGGGTAGCTAGAAGTCTGGAAGAAGACAGGGTCATGCTACACCAGGGTCCTAGCTAAAGCCTCAGATAGGTGCAGCTCCGCATTCCTTCCCTCAGCTTAATGCCAGGGTCTTCCTGCTGCCTCTGGCAGTCAGAGTCCCCAGTGGGGTGGGAATGGCCTTGAGGATCAACTTCCCCAGGGGGTTTCTGCATTTAAATGAGTAATTTGTTGAAATCAAACAAATCTGATACGAATTGGGTTGAGGCAGGATGCGGTACAGGTTTGTCGAGGCCTTACTCCTACCTCAACCCGTCCTCTAGGTCAGGGAGCAGAGTCTCCGTAAATTCGTCTCTCCTTTTTCCATTTATGAAGATGCTCAGTGTGGGTAGAAGGCTCATCTATAGATCACTTTCTATGATCCAAACTCTGTGCTAGGTGTTGGAAATATTAAAAATATAAAGTAATATATAAATGGATCAAATCAACATGTTGTACATTTTAAACATATGCAATGTTATATGTCAATTGTATCTCAAAGATTGAGATCCTTTTTGGGGTGGAGGATGTGGGAATCCAGAGGCTCTCAGTATAATCGATTGTGCTGTCCCTCCCCCAACAAATGAATATTTGAAACTCTAATTCAAGAACATCTTTTCTGGAACTTTGGGGTCACTTGTATCCATGTAACAAGTCAGCACTCCTACAGATGTCCTAGAGCTTGCTCCAGCCCGTGATGGCCAAACTTGGAGAGTGAGCTTTGGAAGGTACAGGCTTAGACCCTCAAGTGGCTGAACTTTATAAAGACTCCATCCTGGTTGTCACCTTCTTGAAAACTCCATGCACCTCTGATTCAGGAGTCCAGCCATGTGGCCGTCACCCTTAGTGGATCCAAGGCTGCCTTTCTAGTTGAGACCAAACTTAATGGCAGGTTTTTTCGGTGCACGTGCCATCAAAAAGACAGAAATTTCTGTACTCACTTTGCTGTAGCAGGATCTTTTCCCGCTCCAACTTCTCCTCCTTTTCCCATTCTGCCTTCTTCTTCGACCACTTGTCCTCCATTTCATCATAAATGCTGTCCTGTGGAGGCACAAAGGCACCATGAAGAAAAGGGTCCTTTTTTTTTTTTTTTTTTAAAGATTTTATTTATTTATTTGAGAGAGAGAGAATGAGAGAGAGAGAACACCTGAGAGGGGATAGGGTCAGAGGACGAAGCAGACTCCCTGCCGAGCAGGAAGTCCGATGTGGGACTCGATCCCGGGACTCCAGCATCATGACCTGAGCCGAAGGCAGTCGCTCAACCAACTGAGCCACCCAGGCGCCCGAAAAGGGTCCTGAAAAAGGCTGCACACCAGCTCCAGGCACAGCATGGGGCCCTTTGCAGCTTCCTTCACCTGGAATGCTTGCTAGCAGTCCCTCTGTGGGTGGCTGGTGGCAGCAAATTCTAGCCCAGCCCACCTGCGAGCCTGCAGAACCCTCAAAGTCAAGGGCAAGCTCTGCCTGGTGTTTGTCCCACTGGAACTGGGTTTTCTTTGAGGACAGGTAGGATTCTCCTGTTGAAGATTCACATGTCAGCTCCCTGAATCATCAATCACTCATCACTAGCCCATGGAGAAACAAGGGAAATGACTAGTAGTTAATTTGAACACTTAGAAAACAATGGCATGTTTTTCAGAGTGTGTTTATTTTTCCTCAGCAAATCTAGCTTCCTTTGTGGTTGAGGTTAAATAAGCCTAACCCGATGCCAGTCCTTTTGGTTGGCTCAGACTTCGTGGGAGTGGGACGTCAGGAGGAAGAAGGCCTAGAACCTGGATGCTGCCAGTAAGGTCTCAGGACGCTGACCCCCTTTTTTCCAGGTTAGCAGTACAATTCACACTGGGGCCAGGCATCAGAGCTCATTTGTAATTGCTTGTGGCCATTTAGATAAAGGTTCTCTCTCATCATTTGCAAGACTGGTGGGCAGATAGAGGTCAAACTCTCTGGAGAGGTCCAGACTGAAGCAAACGTTAAGGCCTACCTAGGAAATTGGGGCATCCACCTGATGCTTCTCTTAGGCTTTGCTCTATGATGTCTTCCCTGACTGTATCAAGATACATCTTGAAAAACAAGTTTTAGATAGAAGCTCAAAAGTGAAATTGTGGTAAACAGAATTTCAGAGGTGGTGCTGGTACTTAACTTGGTTTTCTCCTTTTATATGGTGGTTAACTATCCTTGTTTGTTTGAAACTAACTTGTGTCCTGGGTCTCTGAACATTCAATGCTAAAATCTGGAAAGTCCCAGGCAAACCATGACCAGCTGGTCACAATAGGATGGGGGTTTGCTGCCTCAGCCTGTCCTGTCCATTCCTCTCCTCTCCACTCTCTCACCCTCCTAGGAAGAAATCATGGCCTGTTTCCCTGCAGCTCCATCAGATTAACCAATTTAAATGAAGGAGTTATATTCTGAGATGGCCAGAGCACCCCATGCTCTGCTTGTGGGGGGGTGCAGTGATAAAGTTTTTTGGATGGTAATTTGGCCAAATGTATCAAAAGCCTTTAAAATGTTTATCCCTTTTGACCCAGCACTCCACTAAAATCAAAGATGTTACCAAGTACAAACACTAAGAGTGGTTGTCTTGGGGTGGTGATTATTCTTTCTTTTTTGTTGTTGTTGTTGTAGTTGGTTTTTGTATTTCCATTTTCTAAAAAACAATGAGCAGGTATGACTTTTGTAATCACAAACATATTTTTCAATTGGCTTCTTTGGCGTCTGAGAGACTGACTTGTCACACATGGAAACCACCACAGTCCACAGTTCACTCTTCTCCCTGGGTGTACTCAGTGTTACCTAGCTCCAAGGATGCTGGGAATCTCAGGACATGATTTTCTGTGCAAGAGTTCTAGACTTAGCCCACTGTTATCAGCCAGGAATGAGCCTTGCCTCTTACTTTCATAATCCACCAAGGAGCTCTGAATCTCACCTGATACATATGAAACATATTCTTCAAATACTTATATTCCTTTCCCATCTCATCTGGACAAAAGGAAAACAACAGGGTCATCATTATTCCTCTGAAATGCATGTTTTCAAAGTCAAGTATGAGCTCTCATGTATACCTTTTCCACCTCAAACTCATCCTCTACGTGTTAAAACCATCTTGTACCTACGAATCACTCTGGAAGCTTATTAGAAATCCAAATGCCTGTGCTGCCCACCCCCAACCCCGGCCAAACCTACTGAATTTTGGTCTCAGAGAAGAGGCCCAATATCTGTGGATAATATGCTTTTTAGGTGATACTGATGCACACCAAATGTGAGAACTAATCCCTGGGGGGAAAAGAGGCGCAAAACTTTGTAGTATGCATCTGCTTCTCTCTTTTTAAAATAATGTTTCCTAGTGTACATTGATTTTGAAAATGATAAATGTTCTCTTTAGAAAATTGGAAAATCAGCAAGCTATAAATACCATCTTTTAAAAATGTAAGGCAAAGGAAAGAGAGAAGATTATAGAATTTCTCCTTCTCCCTGTAGAGATTAGTCTATAACCTCAGAATTCTGAAGGATATACACTTTGCCCTTCCCGAGGGTAGCATAAATAATGGAATAAATGGCCAACACAACCCTAATGTATTATAAGGCCATACAAATCATAGTGTGTCCATTAAAATATAATGAAACACCATCATTTTACGGGTGAGGTAACTTGCTGAATTATAATAGTATATTTATAGAATTAAAAAATATATTTTAAAAAGTGCTTTCACAATCTTATCTCTCTGATGGAGGCAGGTATTATTGTTCTCAATTCTTAGATGGGATAAATGAGATTAAGGGACTTGCTCAGATCCCAACACTTGGTCACAGGCCAATCTATCTCCTGGGTGTAGGAAGGACATTGGTGACGTGGTTTTCCTGTTTGCAGTTTCATTCTCAGTCACTCCCCTTCCCTGAGCTTTAGGAGGACATCTGGAAAGCTTAGCCACAGCTCATCCACCGCCATGGTCAGCCTCTCACCCTTCACCAAGGTCATTCTCCCCAGTCCAGACCGTACCTAGTTTTTCTTGGGCAGCCAGCTTCTCTGCCTTCAATGATGCTTTGTAGTTGTTCTCCAACTGACTGAGCTCTGCTGCGTGAGCCTCTTTGAGCTCCCTGTGTGACCCGGGGAAAAGGCTACAATCATCAATCAGTGAAAAGAAGTCCAGAGCTGAGCTGAGCTGTTACACTCAGCGGATCCTACTCTCACACAGGAAGCTGTGGGCAGCCTGCAGCGCCCTCGCTTCCTGATGTGTTTCTCTTGGCATTCACCCAGAAGAAGGTGAGAAGACTCGTTTTTACCAACCATTATTTGAATGGAGCCAGTAGGGGCCATGACTCCCTGCTAAGAGCACAGTCTTTGCTTATGGCTGTCTTGGGAAACTGTGGGCTGTATTAGCATCCAGGATAATTTTAGAGCCCAAGGTCTCTCTCTCATTTTAAAGATTTATTTATTTATTTGGGGGGGCGTAGCAGTGGGAGAGGGAGAGAGAGAATCCCAAGCAGACTCCCCATTGAGCACAGAGCTCGGTGCAGGGCTCGATCCCACCACCCCAAGAGCATGACCCCAGCTGAAAGCAAGTCAGTCGCTTAACTGACAGAGCCACCCAGGTGCCCCGAGCCCAAGGTCTCTTTAACCTCCATTCCAGGAGGCAGAAGCTGGCAGTGTTCAAGTTGAGGGAAGTGAGAGGCTATCCGAGCGGCCAAGCCAAGAGAAGACATGGAGGAACATGAGATGCATATTAGTAAGTGGCCAAAGCCAGTCCACAAAGCCTACATACTGTACAACCCCAGCTGTATGACATTCTGGGTAAAGCACAGCTATGGAGACAGTAAAAAGATCAGTGGTGGCCAGGGGCTACTGGGGAGGGAGGGATGAATGCGCAGAGCACAGAGGATCTTTAAGGCACTGAAACTACTCTGTATGATCCAATAACGGTGGACACTGTCAATTTACATTTGTCAAAACCCATAGAATATACAACACCAAGAGTGAACCCTAATGTAAACTACGAACTTTGGGTGATAATAATGTATCCATGTAGGTTCATCAGCTGTAACAAAGGCACCACAGGGCTGCAGGAAGATTACTCAGCTTGTGGGAGTATGGGCTCAGGCTGTCTACGGGAATTCTTGTACTTTATGTTCTATTTTACTATGAGCCTTAAATTGCTCTGAAAAAATAATGAAATCTATTATAAAACAAATAAGTTACTCATTATTTTTTGAAAGCAAGGCTATGACTCAACCATGTGTACTTCTTTCCACCAGGACTCCTGAGGCGGCTCCGGTGCCCAGCACGTGGGGGCTTTGTAGGTTTCCTCACCCACAAGACAATACACCTCCTTTTACTTCCCCTCGCCTTGTCTTTGTGACTCTGCTGCCCCCCATACCTTCTTCCCATTCTGCCCACATCCTGGGAGCAGCCAAGGAAAGTAGAAACGACAGAACAAAAAAAAAAAAAAAAAAGAGAGAGAGAGAGAGAAAGAGGGGGAGGAAGTAGAGAGGCAGGGGAAATGCGAGGAGGCGCCTGGGCTGAGAACAACAGTTGTTTACCACAGAACTCTCATAAAGAACAAAAAATGGCTCTCCTCAGCAATCACCAAAAAAAAAAAAAGGAGATTATAATTGAAGGGAAATGGTGGGATGAGAAAGTGCAACGCCAGGAACAACCTTCTCTGGGCTACATTTGGGTGGCTTCAAATCAAACCGTCCTGCCCATTTCCCCCACCTGTGCCCACCCAGCTCCATTTGGCACCGTCTGAAATCCCAGTGAACTGACATCCCTCCCACAGGGAAGCAGGAGCCTTAGGGCTTGTCCAGAAAGCATACCTGTTCTTGTTTTCGAAGTTCTCCTGCATCTCAGCACAGTGGAGAGCCATTTCCTCGGAGAGCTGAAAACAAGGCCGGCATTAACAATATAGGATGGAGGACCCCACTCCCACGCAAGCTGCAATTTCTGAGAAGCCTTCCCATTCACGGGGTATGCCGTACCCCTCCGCCTCCCCTGTTTGTATTCGGCAGTCCCAGAAAGCACATCGCTACTGAAGAGCAGGACTGCTGGAAAGTGACCTTCACAAGTGGGTTTCAATAAGCACAGGCAAGTGGGGCGTGGGGGAGGCTGTTTTTGAGCATTGCTCAGGTTTATCACTCCAGACCAGGCCAGCAGGCACCCCTGCTTGAGGTGGGGAAGAAGAGACTGTGATCAAACAGATGGTAAAATCTAAAGGAAGTGTCACCCAAATCCCCAGGGAACACGGAGTGCGCAAGCTGACATCAGCAGATTCCAAAGTAGGCTTTGGCAATTTTAACAGCGACAGGAAGTGGGTACTGAAGGCTTCTGGGCAGATTTTGGACCACGGTGGATGCATTAACCACACTGTTGCCATGGGGAAGAGCCTTAGCACTCTCTGAAGTTTAACTAGCCACAGCAAGCCCAAGGGGAAATGGCCGGCACCCCCTGGTGTGGTGAGTTTATGGCAATGAACACACTGGAAGCCCCTGAAGAGCTCCTGGAAATTGAGTTAGCTCCCACGAGTAAAGTGCTTGGTGTCTTGCCTGGAACATAGCAGCTGATCTGAAAACGCTGGTCTTTCCCCCACCCACAGAGATGTTAGCTAACTCAAGGGTCACTCACCAATTTCTGGGCAGACTGATGGTCTCTGTTCATTTGCTCAATGATCACGGTCAGCTCTGAGATCTGCTCTTCGAGGTCAGTAATGATATCAGTCCTACAGGACAAATCATCCTTCCATCACCCACAGAGTTCCCATCCCGTGCCAGTCAGGCACCTCCTGGTCTGTGACTGTCCCTGGCAGGGAGCCAGGTGAGGGCCAGGCCATGTTCTGCACTGGCTGCATCATCATGGGGCTGGGGGCCAGGGTGGAAGGGTAGTCTGGGAGAGGGAGTTGGGCAGCAGGGTGGTTGAGCCTCAGACCCAGCCCTTTTGGGTAAGCTAGCCTGAAGTGGGGGGAGGGGTAGTAGGGTGGAGGAGTGGATTGGTTACCTGTTGAATAGAAAGGAAAATGTCAGAAATCTGTGAGGGTTTGACTTTGATTCAGTAATGATAGTTGAAATGGAGGAGGAAGAATTCAGAGGATTGGGAAATGGGAAGGTGGGGGATGGGATCGAGGCTGACAGTGAATCATAGACGAGGAATTGTTCAGACACAGGACGAAGAGGGGATTTCAGAGCATGGCTTTCAGAATAGATAACGATTGTTCTGCGTTTCCAGGTCTGAAGCCTCCATGATGTCTGGAAGTTATTTAGCTCTATTTGGTTGAGCTGGAGTAGACAGGGCAGCGGGCGGTGCTGTGTGTGGGGCAGCAGAGATAAGGTCCTCCATTCAAGAGGGCGAGGAAACGAGAGAGAGGATATAGGAGGAGATAGGGAGGGAGAGACATGAATGAGAGATCTAGGAGTTAGAATGGAAAAAGATGCGAGAACTGACTCTCTACGGCATTGGAGGATCGAGTGGGTAGGGCCTGAATGACAGAGAGGATGGCACTGGGGGGGACTCAGCCAGAGTCTTCCACACTGTGCCTCCAAGAAGCATGAACTGAGTGATCTTTGGGCATAATGAGAAAGAGATGCATCCAGAAACCCTGACTTTACTCTTACTTTTCACCTTCCAAATTCAGACTATACTATTTTATGCATATTTCATCTGTTCATCACTCTAGGAAAAATTGCTTTCCTTTAGTACAAACTACACTACACCCGGTCATTTTCCAGATCAGCTTCCTGATTTGACCTTCATCCTGTCTCGAATGGGATCAGGTAGAGAGGTGGGCGTGGTGAGGAGCTCACGGGGATGAGGAGTGAAGTGGCCTTGTACTACCTTCAGAACAGGGCCTCGGTGGACTGGGCATGGAAGTTAGGGGCTTCTCCTTGAGGCCAGGCCAAGCCCAGTGGGGATAGCTCGGAGGAGCTGGATATATAGGTCCAAGGATATTACCTGGAAATTTTGATTCTGTCCACGATCTCTGATTTCGACCGCTTTTTCTTATCAAACATTTCATCTCCCAAGGTGACGTAAATCTGCTCCCTATTTCGAATGAGGCGATAGCCAGGTGACACATTTATCACTTCCTGGGCATCAAGGTGGAAGGTGAGATAATCTTGCAGACTTGGAGTGCTGAGATTCCTCTAAATCTTTCACTAGAGTGCTACTCACATCTTAAACAAAAGACGGGTAGGATTCCAGAGCCCACGTCTCTCCTGCGCCCTTCCCCAGATACCACTCACCCTCATACCTCCAGCTCAGATGTCTCTCCTGAGATCCAGTTGCAAGACTCAAGTGGTTCTTGGATGTCCCCAAAGATCCCTCAAGCTCAACATGTGCAAAACTTAACTGCTGACGCCCCATTAGGCACTCTGCCCCAAGCCCTGTATCTCATCTGCGTTCTCCACATGGCCAGAGGCCAGGAGGAAGTCAGGTGCCATGGAAATTGCTCAGTTTTTGGAACTAGACAGGCCTGTGTTCAAATCCTGGCTCTGCCCCCAACCACAGTTATTCAACATCTGTGTGCCTCAGTTTCCGCATCAGAAAAGGAGGATAATAACTCTTCCTCTAAGGACTTTTGTGAGGAAAACCAAAATAACATGAGAAAATGTCTAGCACAGTCATGAAAACAAACAAACATACCTATTTTAGTCAGTTCTTCCTCTGTTCCCCACTAGATCAAAGTCAGGAATCTGGCAGGGTTCCCAGCTGGCGGGGACCAAGATGAGACTGTACCTTCTCGAGTTGTGCAGGACAGCCCTAGGCCCCACCAGCCCTGTCACTGTTATCTCCTAAATGTATCCCAACTTCCTCTTCTCTCCTCTCTCCTGTCTCCTCTCTCCATACTCCTGTCCCTGGCAGAGCCCGAGGCCACCTTCACCTTTCTCTTTGGCTTTGGCCATACCTTCCCAGCTGACCTCTCTGCCTTCATTCTGGCTTCCCAAAAGTTCATCATCCTCTCCATCTGGAGGGCAATTACATTTTTGTTTGTTTATTATTTTTTCCTGACTATTAAGGAACTGCATGATTTTTGTTTAAGGGGGGAAAAAAAAGAAAATAGATAAAAGCAGAAAGTAGTGAAAAGCATCAATAATATCCCATCAAATAATGTTTGTTTCTAGAAGGTAAATCTTACCTGGTGCTGGGCCCGCGTCAGACCTGTGAAGGCTCCCAGACACCAGAAGGATTAGGCCCAAACTCTTTGGCAGCTATCGAGGTCCTTCTGGGTTTAGTCCCCATCTCTTTCTCCAGCAGGGTCCTGGCCCTGCTCCCCTTGAGCGCCCTGATGCCCCTCCCCCCCACATGTGTGGGCTCCCAAGTGTGGCAGCAGGATTCTGACATGTGGGCATGAGCTGGACCCTCGCCTGGACCGGTTGTCAGTGCCTGGTTTCTGGCACACTCTCCTTGCCCTACACAAGGCCGTAGAGTGTGGTAATTAGACGCCCTCTCTCGGGTCTGGCTGAGCTGAGTTCCAGCTTTTCTGCCACTTACCAGCTACGTTATATGCAGTAATTATAGCCCCTCCTCAGAGGATCATTGCAAAGATTCAATGAGGTAGGTACGTGTAAAAAGCCTATGCCCGCACACAGCAGGCACTCAATAAATGTTAGTCCCCCGGCCCTCTTGCTGTTTTTACTCACATTAGGTAATGTGTTGCTCTCCTCTTGTTTTCCTAAATCGACTGTCAGTCTGCAAGAGAAAGGCATGCTCAGAAAGCACCCAGGGAGCAAGGAAACGGTCGAAGCTTAGAAGCTACACCCTGATCCCACCCATCTGTAAAAAGTGACATTACCAGAATGATATCTGAGGCCCCTTTCAGCTCTCAAAGTGTTCTACTCAGGGACTAGGGAATGTTCAACGGTCCAGGGATCATTGGCATACAGATTGTGATCAAAAGGCAGGTAGTAAAAAAGTGGGGAATTGACTAATCACGCCTATTAGAACCACTCCTAAAATAAGAGCCAGCAGACTTGGCGTGAGAATCCAAAGGGCTCCCATGGTGCATAATCTCAAATGCACACATGAGGGACATTTACATTGTCTTCACAAAAGCCTTTCTTATTTGCACCAGAAATTGGTGATATGGGACCTGAAACAGTCAGTGAAGTGAATTCAGGATAAGCAAATGGTTACTATTCTGAGATCCGGTGTTAATCCTGGTCATAATTAGTTGTTGTTTTCAGGTGCAGAAACATGAACATATCAGGTGTCCACATATCAAGAGTAGCTGTAAGGGAACTCACCTGGAAGGTTGAAAGATTGGAATAAGAGTAACAAGCTTCCGATATGCTGACAAGAATAGTTAGGCTTAGGTATATGAAGCCGGGGCCTCTTCCCTCTGCCTCCACACACACACACACACACACACACACACACC